GCTGTGCCAGCAAGTCTAAGTTAAACCTTTGATAGATCAAGTGCCTTCAGTTGTTATTTTTTTGAGACACGAGCAACATCAACAATTTCTATAATGCAGCAACAAGCATTAGGCTGTGTTCATTTATGTCAGCCACATTTTCCTCTATCCAATGTTCAATAATCAAAATTGTATTTTTGTTTAATAACATTATAAGGGGATTTAGGGATTTCTGTTCATTTTTTTTTAAACCCTAGTTTCTTTGTATCTCAGTCTTATCCAAGCCTAATTCATGATTCATTCTTTATTTTATCTTTTTAGTATTCTTTTATTTTTAGGTTACTACATATGTATGATAGCTTAGATCAAATGGCATTTTGCTTGTTTTTATCTTCTTTCATAGATGAATTAATACATTTTAACAGGGTAGACTGTTATCACAGCACGTCACTTCACCAAGATGAAGTCTGCCAAGACACAGATTGATTCAGTTTGGGCTTTTTTTTAACCATTTAGCTGATCTTCTTGTCTCTGATTTACTATATACATATTAGTGTTATTGTTTATATGTTGATCACATGCAGCTTTTACTATTCTAAATATTAACCAAAAAGGCAGATCTCTTGGTAAACAGAAACTATAGCTCTTCGATCAATTAAACCTTGTGACAACGTACAGTATACAAGGGTTACAATGTTTGAAAGTGTCTTCCTAAGGAGGGAGCCCGAAGCCCTCCGCTCGATGCTGTGCTGTGTGTTGAAATAAGGACAAGTTTAAGCAGGTTTAAGAGTCATGTCGAGGGGTAGTGTAGAAGGCCAGGGTTTGACTGACGGCGGTGAGTTACGCAGATTGTTGAATTTTTTTGTGTGAAATAATCAAGAAACAATCAGTTATTATCTCAGTCAGGAATTGTTGTGGCGGATTCCAAAGATATTTTGTAATGACACTAACACTTATTTTTGCTTCCATTTTCACCGAGTCCAGAGAACGGTATGATTTGTAAATCAGCCCCTGTATGAACACACTGTATAAGCTAATGAGAAAATGATGTAGGTTTTAAGTGTTAATGGACACGTCTGAATAGGTCTAGCTGAGAGATTATTTTCTTTCTTCTTTTTTTTTTTTTTTTTTTTTTTAGACAAGATGGTTGTTTTGAGTGACTAACCCTGAGATTTAAGGATGAGGTTTCAGAACAGAGAAGCAAGTGATTCTTCTATAAAGCGCTCACCATGTTTACATTCTCTCTGAGCAAGAAACTGCTTCAGCCACAGCGGAGACAACACACTGACAATTCTCTCATAATCACATTATTTTTATGTTTACAGCACAACTACGTCTTTGCATTACTGCAGTAACCTTTGAGTAATCAGCCTGCCGTGCATGCCCTTGGTTGAGGACTTGCAGGATGTCACACTGATTCTGTTGCCAACCAGTACTTAATTGGTAGCATAAACTTGATGGAACAATATTGGGGGGGGAGGTAGATCAGAGAACATGAACAATTTTTTTTATTCTGTGTGAAAAAACCTCTTTTTAGTTTTGATTTTATTGATCATTAAATCGTGTGTTGATGATGGATTTAAGATGGATAAACAGTGTTGGTGAGAACAATGCAACTAAAATGAGTGGTACACTACAGTGCTTGTATTGCACGGCTACAGAGTTTTCATTTTGATGCAATGACGGATTTTGTCACACAAACCTGATTTTATGCTTACATAGTGTGTAATTTTCGGAGCATATTAGCTGTTGACTGTCATTGTAGCAAGAACTAATCACACAAGTTAAAGGATTTTGTATTTAGAGTTTTCTAAATGCACATGAAATGAATTTATATTCAGTAATGATCTGTTCATTTTTTTTGATAGATATGTGCATGTGTTTTAGAAAAATAAATTCTGTTACATTATATCTTGCTTCATATGAAATTGGCCTGAAATAAAATATACTTTGTGGTAATATTTGCCTTGTGTGCTAATATATGCAATTTTTCTATTTTCAGAAATGATTCTAAATATACACAAGACAGTACCCCACCCATATATCAGAATAAGAAGCTGTGTTGGCCAAGTATACACTTTCAGGGAATTTGACTCTCAGTGTACTTGTACACAAAACATTTTACAGGATGATAAATCCAGCTAAAAACATGGACAACAAAGCAGAACAATGTTAGGTAAGAGTAAACAGAACTCTTTTGTACATACAAGTAGGTGAAAAAAAAAAAAAAAAAAAAAAAAAAAAAATATATATATATATATATATATATATATATATATATAAATAAAGCAACAATGATCAACATACAACCAAATACAGTGCAAAAGGATAATTAATGTAATAAAAGCTTTAATTGTGCTCAGTCAAATTTCCTGTTCTTGTATTTTACATTAGTTTACATGTGTTTCATAGATTCTTAATGTAAATAATGCAAATACAGCTTTTATTTGTTGCGTATGAATAGATTACAGGATCAATCTGATGCAGAAATGTATTGTACAGTAATCAAATTAACTATATTAGTTGATCTATGATGCAGTATGATGATGATGTTTTTTACTGCGACCACCATAACTAGAAAAATGTACAAGAATATACAGTATAAGTGTTGAAATAAATATTAAATGTCACGTTTTATTTTGAAAGTATTCAGCGGAATTTCTTCTCATGTATTGTAGTTCCTGTCTGTTACCACTGGAGGGCAGTAAAATATTATTTTGCTGAATGCTATTGTTTATGTGTATGTAAGTGAAGTCAACAGGTGTGTATGAGATTATCGATCTACTTGTATAAAAACGTTACTTGCGGCCTCGGGTTATGTGAAGAGGGCCCGTACAGACACTAGTATAGACATAAATATAGATATAATGCTTATATTAGCGAACTATGAGAAGCAATTCCTTCATTAGCACTGATTATTAGTGTAAATGATGATTGATTTGACGTGTTTATTTATAATCGCGAGTGTTTGTTGCCCTCTTGTGGCCACGTGGAGGAACTGCAGCATTGATTTCGTCAAGGTAGCATTAATGCAGCCATGATACCACACCAACACTTCCGGTAAAGAATACATTTTAAGTTTATTTACAGGATTTTCTTACCTATAGTAACGTCTAGTTAACAAGGCTACTGAAAAGTCATAGTATTATATTAGAATTAATAATTTACACCGCCCTCCGGTGGACAAAGTGAGGAATATTTAATTAAACTAGCGTCAATGCACACATGATAGCGTACTACCACTTCCGGTAAATTCTTTCAAAATACAGTTACCAAACTGAAGAAAAAAATAAAATAAAATCATGAATTTACCCTGAATATAGTAAACTTTTTTTTTATCTGCTATGCAGAGCAAGAAAAACAAGTTCATATCACAGACAGATAGTCAGCCGTAGAGATGTTTGTCAAATATCCTTAGACTAATTAATTTTATCATTATTACCCTGGAATCAACGAAAAACAGGTTACTTGGAGATTATGCTAACGTTACTAATACGAGTGCGTACGCCCTCTAGTGGTCGCAGTCAAAACTAAAAGTACATTGCACAGTAGCCCTTCCGGTTATTACATTCAAAATAAATGTTAAAGCAGGGGTAGTAATTACGCACTGTCACCACCGGAGGGCAGTGTATGCTATTAATGTAAAAGCTCTCATCTCAACCATCAACTCCATTATGTGTGGTGAACAGAAGGCAGTGCACAACGAGCTCCCCCCCCCTTTTCTCATTAAAACGATTACATTATTCTCGTATTATTACTTTATTCCCATATTATTACTTTATTCTCGTAATTTCCCAAAAATAAAATAAAAAAATAGGTAGGTACTAGATACAATCTGTGATTTTGTTTGTACCTGAGAGACTGCGCTGGAAGGACGATGTGGATCCGCACTAATGTGTACTATTATATAAGCTTTTGTTCATAGACCTTAGTCGGGCACTCGAGGCAAACCAAGTGAAGTTGCTGGGTAGATATTCCTGTAATTAGCATCATGAAAAACATCTGTGTATCCCTGACAGAAGATCAAGGGTATTGTAGTTTTTTTCACATATGGACTACAAGAAAATAAAGGGGACAAAGATATGTATGAAAACAGTATGTCATTTAAAAAATATATAAATACTCCCTTAGCAGTGTTGAAAGACATCTGGGAAATTGATGTATATCTCATTACAGCATATAGTTTAGAAAGACTTCATTTAACTGCAAAGCATGAGGAGCCTCAAAAGCATTTCTCTGTAAACTATAATAATATAATTGTCTGACAAGTTTAACATGCTGATGTCCTGAAATCTAAAGGAAAAGATAATGAAGATATTTTTACCTTAATGTCAATTAATTCTCTGTTAAAGAACAGTAGGCCTTGGACATTAATAAATAAATATCTTATTACACCTGCTTCAAAATATGTTGGCTGTTCTTTATGGGAAAGATAGATGATGCTTGGGGTAAGGTGATCTGAAAAGACAATTCTGCAACTATTCTTCGCAGTACATTACTTTGTAGTTCACCAGCAGATACTTTACGCGCAAGAGAAAGATAAATTCATAATTTTTTTGCTATTCAGTGCACTTCTCAATAAATCATAGTGACAGGACTGTTTTTGATTTGTAGTGTTTACAGTGTGCTTTTACTCAACCGTACTTCTTCAACACATTTCCAGATGTCTGTTTGTCATCCTCTGATAAACACATTGGATTACAGATATCAGCAGGATAGTTTCTACTGTTTCAACAGATACAACGTAAGATTCTCTCCGTATCTTTGCACATACTTCATTGTTCTTCATGCTGATGAGAGAGAGAGGTTGGCACTGCCAAACATTTTGAAGCATTTCATTTATAATTTAATAAAGTCTTTACTGCTAGGAAGCATAGTCTATATGAAATGTCATGCTAACACAAGAACTATATTTTAATAATACAGTATAATGTGAATATGAAATTAGGTCAAATGAGTTATTTTGTTTTGGATTGCAAACCAAAACATCTATTAAAGAAGAAAACAAACAAAAGCAACACTTAATATTTATTCATTTATTCAAATCAATTTTATTAATTACATGTATTATAATGTTTCATTACTATCCCAATAATTATTAAATATCACATGAAAAAAAACAACAACTAATGGTTACATTATTTAAATTGCATCAAAAACTACCACAGATTAAAAAGCTTGAACAATAAGTAAGAAAACATCTGTTGTGGCAAGATTCACTGTGTGTATGGTAGCTGAAAGTAAATACCATATCATGCTAAATAGTGGATGCAGATTTAGAAACTTAACTTGGAGTATCAAGATGAACTTGAAAGCGACACAGCAATGTTTTCTTTTCACAGTGTGAATTTGGTATTTGATCCTATACAACAGCACTACAGCATGAGTATGACAAACAGACCACAAAAACAGTGACTGCAAAGAAAAGCAGTTTCTTGGCCAATATACCAGGAATAAAATATGCTGAGTACTAAGGACAGAACACAAATTCCTTTCACAGTAAATACAATACAAAACAATACAGTATACTTGGATAACAAATAATATGAGTTTATAAAATTCCATTTTAACATTATTTAAAAAACATAACCCCTTACATCTTACATCCATAACCTCTATAATCGAGCCGTGGGTCAATTTTTAGCAACCTGTGACCCAAATTCATGAGTGACTGCCCAGAATCTCATCCAAATTTATATCTTTCATCCAATCATCATTTCCAGAGCCAGACTTGAGCAGAGAGTCTATGAAGTCTGAGTCTGTGTTGATCCCTGGAACTGTGTTGTCTCCCTCAGGGAGGAAGTCAAAGGTCAGACGGTTGGCCCGGTTATTCTGGTAGCTGCTAGAGCTGGGACTGGGCTCTGCAAAGTTGCCTGCTGGTACCCTCTGTTCAGGAGAGGCCTGGTTCAGGTTCCCCACTGCTGATGGAGAGCCCATCATCGGCTGGCTCGGTCTTGGGCCTGTGTCTCTTATCGAAGGGTTATGAGGGAGCATCCCAATGTCTGGTGCTACCTGGTTGGGAGGGCCAATGTGCCTTTGTTGGTATGGATGGTTTGGCATGTCCAGCTGCGCACCCTGAGACTGTAGTGGATTGGGTAGCCGCCTAACACCGAGTCCAGTTGTTACTTGCTTGTTGGTTGAGCCCCAGCCCATATTGACATTTTTCATCAAGCCTCCGAGACCCTGTCCCGGTACCGCTGAGGCGTGCATATCAGCGGTTGTTCTTGGGTGCTGTGAACCTGCTACATTGTTCATCCCAAAAGAATTTGCGTGTGTGTTTGGCCCTAGGAACCTAGCTTTATTTTGATTTAGTCCAATTCGATTCTGATTGTTATGCTGCTGGAATTGGCCGATGCAAGAACTTGGATGACAGTCAGTCCCGATACCAAATCTGCGGTCCGATGGTGAAGGACTCATCTTTGAACCTGACCCACTTGGGAGGTGACAAGACATGGACTGTAGGTCATTCTCAGGACCATTGCTGGAAGCCTGGGAGGAGTTTTGACCTAAAGAGATACCAAGAAAAATGTATTACATTACAATTATGGTCACATAGTAGCATTTAAAGCCTTTCTGACTTATCAGAAATGTACAATACCTGTGAAGATGTTTCCTTGAACTCCCACCATACTTCTTGGCTGCTTGTAATCAGGTGGTGGTCTTGTGAGATGACGACTGAACTGATCATGTGCATTGTCTTTGTCCTGAGAAGGAAAGACAAAGTTGTGAATACTGATTAATCAATATCAAGTCTGAACTGCTTATTAATTGTTAAAAGCTGTAGGCTGCAAGATGTATCTTACTGAATTGCTAATGGTGTGCTGGTTAAGCTGTCTCTGCATGGCCGGAGTTTTGGCGGGGCCTTTCTGCTGGTTGTTGGGTGCTGGGGGCCTTGGCTGCGACTGGGCTGACATGACTCTTAAGTTTCCATTGGTGGGTAGCCTTGGACCGGGAGGAACAACCTTAGAAGAAGAGAGACGTGATGGTTTTACATTAGTGTCAGTGGTGCTACTTTTTAATTTTTAAATATGTATTTTTCTCTCTTCTCTGCTAAGTGCCTGGAGATTGGAGCTAAGTGCTGTGAAAGCTGTTTCAGAAAAGCACAAAATCAAAAACAATGCAATAATACGATTTGACCACTAGAGGGCAGAAGCCTACAAGATAATACAGATCTGTTTCAAAGATGCTATTCAACCTCCAGAATGTGGTCAAGGCTACTCCCTCTGCAGATGAAAAAGGAAGACTTGGAGAGAGGCTTTTTTTGGAAGGGGGAGTGCGAGCCCTCCTCAAGGCCTGCTTCTCCCTTGATAATTGTGTCTAAAGAGAGTGGAAAGAATCCCTGAGACAGCAGGAAATGTGTGCCAATGGGGAGTTAAGCGCCAGCACCATGACTACCTCCATTTAATAAGCTCGCCTTTACTGATCACTGTGTTGTGTTTGGCAAGGAGGCATTCCATCCACTAGAAACCCATTTGGCTCCTGACACTATCACAGTGATTAAAACGTGGTAGTCGGCAGCACTCAAATTAAATTGAGATATCCAAACTAGCTTTTTGTTTGAAGTCTTTTCCTGAACGTATGCTTTTGCAGATGAGCTTTTGCCGTCATGCCGTTTGAGATGTTACATGTCCTTGTAGTACATATTTTTTAGCTTTTTTAGGCAGCTGGGCAGAGACATTCAAGCACTCCAAGTAAAACCTGTCTTTCTTGTGGACACAAGGACACTCTCTCTATGCTCAAGCTTCAACCAAGTGCAAGCATTTGTCATGAAAGAGGTTAATGTGCACCAAATCCAAGTCAACATGTGCTGTGTATACAATGTCAGTCATTGTGTTGACTTAAAATGTTTCCCAGGGTGAAATGGATTAGAAATCCAACAGTGCATTTAGCAGAAGCTATTACTTAGAGGACAGATTCTTTGCAGAGGATGAATCTCTACAGGGTGGTGACTTTGTGGTCCCCAAGAGAAAAACTGAAAAAAAGAGAGGGAAGTACGTGTATATATATATATATGTGTGTGTGTGTGTGTGTGTGTGTGTGTGTGTGTGTGAATGATAATGAATGGGGCTGAAATTTGGAGAACTAACGAGACAGGATCAGGGAATGAGGGAAGTTGAAACTCATAAGGAGTCACAAGCCATTTCACAAGCTAATATTCGCCTTCCCTGCCTGAGTTCAACCCACACAGCAAACCAAGCATGGCAATGAGGTTACACAGGGACTAAAACATCAAAACAGTGGTTTCTCCTGTTACTCTAGAAAGCAGTCACTGGCTTTGATTCACTGTATCCAGTTATCGAGACTGTGAGAAATTGTGACCATCACAGACATTTTCCCTCCAGAGGTACACTGGAGAGGTCTTGTTCCATCTTTGTTGTAAGAAAAACCCAATGAGGGGTGTTTTAGCATGTACAACTGAGTAATCCTTTCTGTCATCCTGATGTGTCATAAAGCTGTTTTCCATGTTTTTTCCCCCCTCTCATTCTTCACAAGCTTGTTGTAAATGAATACCACATGTGGTTCAGGCCTCAGAGAAGGAGCGGAGTGATTTAGTCTCCCATCCTGCGGCAGTGCGGGCAGCTGACAGTGATCCAGGCCCAGCCTTGCCGGCTCTCACACTGCACTTCCTCCAGTCTGGACTCATGACGCTGTCCCAGGGGAGCGCCTCGGCATCTGGACTTGGCTGCAGCTCCCTTTCCCAGGAAACAAGCACTCCCTTCACAGCACTGCCGGAGTGACCTGGTAGGCTCAACCCACATGGCCCTGCTCTTATCCTAACTGAGGGATGTGGTGCCACAAGATCGTCAACAAAAGTTGAGGAGTCATTATTTACTGCAAGCAATGTTGTGGTTGTATTTAGGCTCTTTGAGTTTTTCAGTAAGGAGAGTATACTACAGAAAGCAAAGTACAAGCTCTTGGGTAGTATTTACATGGAACTGTGTTTTAGCTTAAGCTAATCAGCGGGATGATGAAATTGCTGCCAAATGTCTGTCTTCACTTGATCTAACAGTGTTGTCTTATGCTCAGCAGAAGTATAAGTCACTCTCAATAAGGTTGTCTGCCAAATGTTGTAAATGTTAATCTGAATGTAAATGTTAGGATATAATTCAAAACACAAACATACAGGAGTGTACAACTATAAAGGGACTGAAAGTCAAATATACAAAAGGTAAAACTCTTTTGACTTGTCTAGTACAGAATCATTAGATGCTTAAAATTATATAACTAAACACCAAGAGTGAAATGTCTAAATATATCAAAGAGGCCTTTCTGTATAACATGTCCTATTACCATTGTGAAAATTAATATTTTGATAAATTAAATTAAAAGATGAGTGAATAGGCCAAAAAAAAAACATTTCGTTTTAATATTTCCTTAAAGTAGCCTTTTCTGCACCTATGATTGTATGGCATTTAGTTACCAGAAAATTCAATATATTTTTTTAAATTAGGAGAAAACCAATACCCTTTCACAGTGGCAACAAATGGAATCAATTTTATCTCAGACATAATACATAACAAAGCCCTGTAATAATTTTTAATACACAAGGATTGTCTTTCTTTTTGCTATTTAAACCCTCATGGAACCCAAGTTTTTTCCCCCCCTTTATTTGGCTTAAATACACAACACAGCTACACTACTGATGTGACTAGCAACACCAAATTTTGTCCTTGAAATAGCATTGCCCACCAACCACAGCAACTCAGGTTTCATAATGCATTAGTGTCCTCTGCTGTATGCTGCCAGAGAATGTATTCATACTTTAAGCAAGGGAGGTATTTTTTGTGAGTGACCTCACAGAGGAGAGAGTTACAGAGTTGGTGGATTTGAATTTTGACATGTTTGACTCAGCAACTGATTATTAAACTGTAAGAAGCTTCAAACAAGCACGAAAGCTCACATCTCTGCCTGTTTTAAAAAAGGTCTTCAGCTTCACTCAGTGGGAGGAAACCCACTGCCAGTTGCTAGTGTTACACAGGGGGATCAGGGCACTTTTTCAGGACCTTTATTTCTCCGGCATTACTAATTCAATTCACTGTGGGAAGAGACTCCACTCCTTTTTCTCCTCTCTGTGAGCTGTCCCTTCCTCATTAGCTGGACTTTTAACCCTGTCCATGCCAACTGCAAGACAAACACCATTATCAGCCTTTTTTAAACACTTAAACACTCAATTAAAAGCGGTCCTTGTTTTCGTCTCCACAATTTCTACACTATCATATCCCTAGCATCATGTTTGCATATTTCATTTGTTCAGACAAACTGCACATTAATACACAATATCCTCCGGAAAGTTGTTTCAGCAAAACTTCAACCCTAATGAACTTGAGCACAGCCGCATGTCCTCAGCATTTTAAAGACCGGAGGTGACTGAGCTTTTACTTTCAGTAGCTCCGGTCTTTGGAAAAGTTAGCTTTTTAAATAATTTCTCAAAATCCATTTAAGGCTTTTTCATTATTTGATACCAGCTCTTCTGAGTCGCTTCTCCTTCTTACTCACAAATGTAATTTTGTAAAGTACCATTTTTATTGCTTATAATTTTTTAAACATGCTACATAAATATTATTACTGATTATCACTACTAATAATGCTAAGTTTGGCATACTAAGTACTTTTTTGCCTTTATTAGACAGCAGAGGCTGAGGCAGACAGGAAACGGGTAAGAGAAAGGGGTATGACATGCAACAAAAGTTGCTGGCGACATTGTGAAGGCCATGTGGCATGTGCTGTAACCATTCAGCTACCAAGGCATTCCACTACCTTTACCTTTGATAACAGTTTTAATGAATATATTGTGTATATATATAGAAATATGGCATGTTGCGAGGTCATTTAGAAATATGGTTGTTTGCTTATTTTGATTATTCACTAGAATAAGATTTTGTATATTTCTGCATCATACATTAATTTTCTGATAAAGAAAAATATGTAGTCTTAGAGGCTTAAGATAACACAAGAACATGCTCTGCCACATGTTCTATTTAGAGTGTAAATGGCTTTGTGGTATACTGGTAAAACTGGTTCTGTTTTACCCATGTGTGATGATGTATTTGTCACCCTACCTTGTTTACTTGCAAGTCTGTACTATGTACACCCTCCCTGTCTCTCTCCTCCCACCCTCTCCCAGTCACTCAAGCACTTCCCTTGATCTGTAGAGGTTATGAGAGCTCTCTTGTGTGGCTCGCATTATCATTTCACACAAAGACAGCTACAGATACTGTTAGTGCAAAAATGAAAGAGGGGACGGTCTAAATCTCCCCAATCATAACAAATCAGTGATTCAACCTCCGGCACCAGGCTAAGCAGATTACTGTCATTTTCCACCACTTGTCCCTTGTAGCTAACAACCTCCAATTAGCAAATCCCGCTGTGCATATCTGTGCCCTGACGGGGAGCCACCATGACAAGCAGAGAAATTAGAAGTCCTGCATGTTAATCTACCATGCTCTGGCAATCTGTGTCATCGTCAAAACACTTTCAGGGGAAATACATATTCAAGGGAGTCACAACGGCAAAGGCACAGACAGTAGCTGGAACAATGGCAATAAAGTCCCAAAACAAACGGCACTGCATTGTTGCTGTTTCAGACAGCAGGTTGGCTGCTGCGAGCAAACTGAGGAAACCGATTGATGAGGAAGACTAAAGAGAGTGAGTCTGACTGCAGCTGTGAATCATGTTACTATACCTTCAGCAGAAAAATTTAGTTATTTGTATATAGAGTGCACTAAAATACACAAGCCAGACATTCTGATGGAAAATAAATAAAATCGTGCAGGAAATATAACATCTGGGTTACCTAACAAAAAATGTTATCCTTTCATCTTCTAACTCTATAGGTTACACTGTACCTCTTAATTTCATTTCATTGGCTGTGTTCTAATTTTGCTAGGGTCACTGAGCTGACTCATACATACGTACATACATACATACACATATACGTACATGATGATAGATATATGTCACTTAAAGACCTTGTAGCTACAATTTTGGTGATTTTAATGTTTACAGTAAATTCTTCTAATAGTTGTAAAAAGTCTCGACTTTGTGGGGGGAAAAAGCCTTTCAAAGCCCTTTGAATATGGTTACTGCTCACTTATCAGCACAATTTTTTCCCCAGAAAAATTTTGAGATTTTACCTAAGAGCAATCCCATGTGAAAGAATTATGTATAGAGCCCTTACCTGTCGCTGTTGTGACAGTTTGAATGGCAGCCCTGCGGGAACAGACTTGGGTTGCAGACAGAGACCCCCTGACGTGGAGATCTGTTGGTTCTGGAAGTGGAGAGCTGAATGTGGTTGATTCTGGCCAGTCGATGGTGACTGCTGCTGCTGCTGCTGGGCTGAAGTCTTATTCACTGAGCTTGCCATGATAGGCATCGGCTGGCTGGCAGAATGGGGCGCTTTGGGGCTGAAGTGCAACGTGGGCTTGGTGCTGAGAACCTTCATGTCCAAATGATGGGAGCCATTGTGGCCATTTGACTTGAAGAGGCAATTGTTGATGCCTTTACTCTGGGAGCCAATCCTCTGCTGGCTAAGCGGGGCTGGGCTGGAGACCTTGTCCTGGGGAAAGGCGCTGGTCGAGGAGTGGGTGCTCATGGCAGGAGCCCAGCTGGTCAATCCCGCAGGTGGTGTTGTGTGATGGTGATGAAGCAGAGAGCTTGGCTGCTGCTGGTTGGCTGCCATCTGCTTCAGCTGCTCTGCGTGGGATATTTCTGGCCAGCATGGCATGGCTCTGGGCTGCCCTGCCTGTGTGTTAGCTTTCTGTGACGTGGTGGTAGAAGAGGTGCTGGTCAGCGTGAAAGAGGGTCCTGCTGAGGCTGGTCGAAGCTGTGGCGAACCACCATGAACCTGGCCAAAATCTGGGGAGTGCTCCATCTTTATTGGCCTCTCCATTGGGGAACACAGACTGGCAGCTGCTCCTGCTGAGCTTGGCCGACCTAGATCCAAACCGAATGTATCATCCTGCTTCAGCATCTTCTCAAACTCCAGGTCATTCAGCGTTGGCACTGTCTTTGTCAGCTCATCAAAAAGATCCTGGAGATCTGGATCAATCTGACCACCACCTTCATCTTTGAAGTCAAAAATCATCTCTGCATTTGACTGGCCACAAGACTGGACCTCAATGGGCTCTTTCTTCATTTCTTTCAGGGTCATGTTGAATATGTCTGACCCCACTCCATGGGGCATCATGTAATTCTTCCTCTGCATGGCCATGGTTGAGGACCCTTGCAGAGAATGAGACTGTGTTAAGTTATGGTTGCAGGAGCCATGTCCCAGACCACTGGCATCCACACGGACCCGCTTAAAGTCTGATCCAGAGAAACCACAGGAGAGCCCATTCTGCTTTGGTGCATGACCTGGTGCATGTCCCTCGATCTTCCTTCGCAATGATCCTTGAAGCTGCAAAACACAACAGAATTGAATTTAAAAAACACTTCAGAAATAGAAAGAAAGGAATACTTTCACCTCACCTTCATTTCATTTATTTATTATTTACCGGGAATGATTCAAAAAAGATCTACAAGGTAATGGAGTTTGAAATTCAATAGAACACTAAAGAAAACATTTTCATGACAAGATCTTAATTATTCCACTTGATTCAAAAGGCTGTCTTGGGAGCCAATTCAAATTATGGTGATAGTTCTGAGGATGGGTGCATTAAATTCTACATACAGCTCAAAGTATCACCATGTAGATTAATCCAATTTCAGAATTTGCTCCAAGGCCTGTAGATGCTGTACACTTGACCAACTTGTGAAATTTAGGAAGATTACTTTTATTAATAGACAGTTGTTTCATTAAGTACAATATGTTTTGAATCTAAAACAGTGATGACATCTCAAATTACCCTGTCACATAATTTTGTAAGATGAAGAAGACACATTCAGATAACACAAAGCTTCCATATATCATTTTATTTAAATACTTGCAATACAGCAACGAGGCAAACGCTGCTGCAGCATTTCGATTTTTTTTTTGTTATAATGCAGGTTGAGCGCAGTGGATGGGCTGAGAAGATAGCTAAGAATCTGATATAGTTGACAAACCGCTGAGAGAAGAATAGAGTCTTTGTTTCCCTCATTTGCATACATTATATTTCCTTCCATTGTGCTTCGTTAGATAGCAGAGTTTCTCCTTTGTGGCTGAGATTCTGCTTAACATGCTGGTGCAGATATCTGACTTCCCTTTGTCCTATCCCTTTGCATGTCTTCATTTAAGGTAATAAGCACAGCCATGACTCACAACTTTAACCATTAAGTAACACTCCATAAAACTGAACCGTTAAAAACCCTAACAAAATGTGCATGTTATCAAAGCAAAATGTAGATGATTTATATTTTCAGGAACTGATACTATCATGTCAACAAAATAATGGAGTTTCTTCCTTCACGTGAGTCATTAACAACAATTCACTGAGAAAGAAATTGTCTATCCAGTGGCAATCTCAAGCATGCTGCTGTATACACATAAAAATGACTGATTATCTGACCATCTTTTAATGTGGTGCCTGCATGGAAATAAAATGGTTCTGATTGTACTCCAACCTGAGCATAGGAGAGGAGTATCAGTGTGTTGCATATTTCACTGTGGGAACACATTTGAGTCATTTCCACCTGCTGGCACAGATTAGATTAAGATGATTCATAGCCCGAGGGTTTGGAGTGAATCCTGCAGTTCACTACATTTCTACTCTGTTCGTGTCTGTATTACTTCTGCTAATGCTCTTAACAATTGCTCAGAGATACATCCTCACATTTTAATCAAGGCACAAATATCTCTCTGACTCACCAAGCCTCCTTGAGCTAATAAGTCTGTGTGCGTTTCAACATACTGAATGGATGTGGATGGACGATGATGATTATGTGGATGTTGTGCTAAAAGGGGCAGGGACTCTGAAACAATAATTTCTAGTCAGATCATACCACTGGCTTTGCATTTAGCTTAGTAAGTAGAAACTGTTGTACTTAATATTAGTGAAGGCCATTTTCAAAAGCATGATTGCAAATAGATTGATTTTCAAGTAACAATTAAATTTTTTTTACAATAGGAAATTCAGTTTGCAAACATTTAAAACCTGCTTACGCTCCCTGAAAAGTACCAGTGTAAAGAAACAGCAATTGAGTTCAGCCAAAGACAAAAAGAGAGCTGGGGTCCATGTGACCAATTTCAAAGTCAAGCAAGAGAGTCCAATTTGTTCCCTTTAATTTCTTGTCAACAGTATGTTGTCACTATGCAATACCGCAGGAGGCAGAACTCTGTTTTTAAAACTCTTGTTGATGGTGCATTTACAGACGGAGACAGAGAAATAAATTGAAGGCAAGCAATTATTACAAAACTAGTTATACATTAAGAGTTAATCAATTAAGCCTTGTAAAATGCAAAATATATGTTCTTTAAGGGCCCAAAAACTTCAAATAAGTAGTATAGTCCCATATGAAATGACAAGCAACTACTATTTCGAAGTTAAATATACTTTGCCACAAAAGTAAACCTCAGTAGAAAAGTTCTCAACAGAAACTACAGAGAAAGAAACAGAAAGACATCAGATGATGTAATGACAGTCTGGCTGGATGATGCCAAGTTAATACAGAGAATTACACAGACACATACAATTTCAACTTAGAAATGTTCCAAAAGTTCATCTACAGTATGTCTCATTCACTAGCTCCCTTTTGCCATCTTTACTAAGATGCAGACTATTAAATACTGTGCCTCTCCACAGACTACTGGACATCTGTTTTTCTCCAAATGCAGATGAAAACAGGCCTTCTAGTGTGTGTAGCTCATGCACACTTTCTCTCATTCCACAGGGCTCTTTCTGGAGAAGACAGACAGGAGTACTCCACATGGTTCAAGGCACCGTCTGAGAAAACACATCATGAATAATGGAAGGGACAGTGGATGAGTTGCAAAAAGCCATTGTGAGACATGGTTGCCTCAATACTGCCTTTGTGACATTTAAAAATGGACTCTAGGCAAGAGCAGTTCTTAGTTCAAAATTCAAAGTTGAAGCTTCTCCAGACTTTGTGTAGTTGAGATTTAGTCAAGGTTTGATTGCTGTAATGTGTGCATTCTGATACTACCTTCATTTGGGTAACAAAACAATATTCAAGCTCAAACAAGTTTGTTTGTTTTTCTTACATTTCTAACCGATAAAGGACCATCCAGTTCACTCAGCGCTCAGTACTCAGAAGCAGTGGCCTCCTAGCTGGCCTGAAATCCTCATGACAGATCTCCAAGTGATCTGAAAATAGATTTTTTGATTAACATTTAATGAGCTTAGAAGCTCTGAATCACTTTGAAAGTGACTCCTGCTGCATGAGAGGCTTAGATGTATGCATTATATACTGATCATCTGATGGAAAGCACTGCTTACATTTGTTTACTGTGAATGGCAAAATGTAATTCACCCACTATCAAAGTCTAGGTTAGTCGTGACCAAAAGATTAATGTAATCTCATTTTACGTCAATGTTATTACAAAACAACAAGAAGGAATATCTTGCTATAAGTTAGAAAATCTCTAATCTAAACTTCTCACAGCTACAATAAACAGAAGATTACACAATATACTCTGTGTTTTAAAGGTTTGAACAGGGTGTAACTTTCTGTGGCATCCATCCATCCTGCTTTAATTGTACTACTTGAGGGCACAATTCCCGAGGAAATCATTTGGATAAGTGAATCAAGAATGGATTTTATATTTGAACAGAACCTTTCTGATGCTGCTTATTGATGCCCTTTGACTGTGGCAGTGAGGGACCTGACCTTGGCCCTGTCAACAGAAGCTATCTATTCCTGGGAGCTGGAGGGCTGGTAGCTCGTGTGTCAAGCTGAGCAGTGTGGTGATGCTGAGCACTGTGGATGGGGCTCCGGGTGAGCCATCACAGGGACGCAACACCAGGCCTCCTGGTACCATCTGTCAGTCCAGTGGCACAGCCCTCAGAGCCATGCATGCTTGAAGAATATAGGTTTGAGAGTGTTTGTGTCTGTGTTTGAGTATGAGAGTGCGGCTCAACAAAAGATTGAGCTCGCCAGCCTTTAATCTATTCACCAGAGCCCTGAAACATGTTGCAATCTGCTCCTGCGCGAGTTAGAAACCTTCCTGTCGGCATTTGACATGGAAAAACAGTCCCAAAATAAAGGAATAAATACGACTATTGTGTTCCTAGGGAGACATAATATTTATGCGGTTCTGCAGGTTGCATACTATTGCAAGAGGGGATTTCAGCTCGTTTATTGCCAGATAAGAAACAAGAGCCCTAAGACCAGTGCCAATGATCAGCTGTCATCCAAAATTCAACTATCTGCCTACAGAATGCTGAGAAAGTGTGGAGGGCTCAGTTTAATTACGGGGTTTCTACTGGCTGTCTAAAGCTGTAAGCCACGATACTATATCCAGAGAAATTGAATAAAACATCCTGGATAACTTGAAATGTTTAATTATTTAAAGGAAGGTAAGGAAGCCGAGGCTGAGTCTGCTGCAATACAGCATATACATCCATGAGGAAATGTATAGTTTCAGTCAAATCAGGTCAGGGGGCTGTCAGATTCTGTTTTTGTCTTTTCTGTAAACTGTTCTCCTTTTTAATCCTTTTTGTTTCTAAGTCATTGGCTTGTTATTTTTTTCCGGCACATTTCAAGTAACAGCAAGGTGAGCACAATCTTTTTTATACTATAAAACAACAAAAATGTCCTAGGATAACCATGATTTGATGAATTTTGAATCAAAAACAAAAACAGTTAACAGTTACCAAAAATGTTTTGCTTCAAAAGGACCAGTGTGTAGGATTTAGTGGCATCTAGCAGTCTAGCGGTGCTGATTGCAACACCGTAGAAACATGGCGGTTCAACATGGTGGAGTCCATAGAAGAGGACCCGCTCTCTCTTTACATAAAGACGACTCATTCGTAATGAAAACAACAATTCTTATTTTCAGGTGATTATACACTAATAAAAACCAATATATGAATATTGGAACTAATTACGGTCAACAGATCATCCTAAATCTTTAAGCCTCACATAGATTTGATTCAAAGACAAGATTTGGAAAGCACTAAGAATAAAGGAAATGATAGAACTGTGACGGGTGCACTGTAGCATGCAACAAGCAATTATAATGGAACTTAAAAAAATATGCCACACCAGCATATATGGTGTGTGGTCATGGCAATCCAGCAGGAAACACATACTGAAGCAAGGGTTAGAAGACAAATTAGATAGCTGCCTCTTGGCAGCTGCTTTAGGCATTACATTTAACCAATTTTCATCAGTTTTGGTGGATAAATTAGTGGCTGACAAAATTATAATAAAGGTAGGCTTGTTCCTTCTTTACACAAAATAAATACTAAAATCAAGGTTTTGAAATTGTTTTCTAAAAACCAAACACTCGTGAACTCG